ATGAAGCAGACGTGCTTTTATGAAGCAGACGTGCTTTTATGAAGCAGACGTGCTTTTATGAAGCAGACGTGTTTTTATGAAGCAGACGTATTTTTATGAAGCAGACATGTTTTTATGAAGCAGCGTGTTTTTATGAAGCAGACGTGCTTTCATGAAGCAGACGTATTTTTATGAAGCAGACGTATTTTTATGAAGCAGACGTATTTTTATGAAGCAGACGTGCTTTTATCTAAATATTTCTGCAACATGTGGTTCATGAAGCAGCTGTGACGATAGCCCGCCCTCAGGTACCGGCAGCAGGGGTTCATCAGGGCTCGCTCTGCAACATTCCTGACACAAACGTCTTCTTGTTTGCAGGTTGGTGATAAACTGCAGCTCCACATGATCCATGAGGAGGTTTTTCTTTCAGACTCTTCTATTTACTGTCAGCGTGAAAAGACAAGAGTTCTGAGGAAACGGATGCGTGGTGGACTGACAGAGTCTCTGATGGACAGGAGGACACACCTTCATCTCCATGAATGAATCACATCTGACCCTGCAGCTGGTCCATCCCAGACTGGACCCAGGCTCTGTCCCCAGGACCTCAGCTGCTTGCAGGGTTCAGCTCAGGCGTCGTCGTTGTAAAGAGAAGCTCAGACTCTGATGGAACATCGTCCTGTTATCAGAACTTCTTGTAAGAAGAGCTCCGTCCACCAGCAGAACCTTTCAGGACGTCGGCTGCAGGAACTCATCCAGTGAAAATCAAAGACTCACTAAGAGTCACAGAGGGCAGATGAGATCAGCAGAAAACTTGTGGGTTTGTCCTGGTTCTGTTCGGACCTTCGGCTGTAAAACATCCAGGTTCAATGAAAGAAACTGATTTCAGCTTCTTTGTTAGACCTGCAGCTAAAAGCTCAGCAGCCCCTCCCAGACAGGCTCTTCAGACCTTCAGCTGCTGCTGGATGAGAACTCCACAAAGACGGGGTGCACGTGAAGATGCCTCACTCTGCAGCAGCTGTCAGGCACAAAGCTGTAATAAATCAGCTGATGGTGCCGCTCGGACCGAATCCTCCTGAACAAGACAGGAAGGACCTGCGAGGGCGGCCATGATGGAAACGGAGGAAGAAAAGCATGCTGGGTAATACAGAAGACCCACAATCTGCTGGATCTGCAATATTAAGAATCATTACTTTTGTCAACTTAAAATATTTACATTTAGTTTTAGGAAGTGTCATAAATTATCTGTTCAATAAAATAAATAAATAAATAAACAAACAAACAAATAAACAAATAAAGTTTTACCAACAGTTTGTTAGTGTGGGGCAAAAACTGAAAGTACGGATCCTGGTTCTGCCCCTGAACCCAAACAGTAGAGATAACGGACTGTATGCACACACACACACACACACACACACACACGTGCACACACACACACACACACACACACGCACACACACGTGCACACACACGCACGCAGTACCAGAGTGTGTGTTTGCTCTGTCAGTAGAGCAGGAACAAGATGGAGGATTGTTCTGGTGTTTAGGTGAGCGAGTCATGCTGCAGGCATTCACACACACACACACACACACACACACACACACACACACACACACA